AAGTTGAAGATTTATACAACATTTAATTATTTAAAATAAATTATTTTTTCATGTCTTAGTAAATAGAAGCTGTGAATGATGATGTAACTGACAGTGTATTTGTAGATGTCAAATTTTAAAAATGGATCTCCAATGCTTCTTATTTATATTAGAATTTTCTGATGATAAAAAAATAAAGAAAAAAATAAAAGAAAGTAAAAAAAATGAGAAAAAATGAATAAATAGGAAAAAGAATAAATGTTTGAGCCACGCTATCTATTCTGATAATAAAAAAAATAAAGAAAAATGAAAAATAAAAAATGAATAAATAGAAAAAAGAATAAATGGGTGAGTAACGTTGTCTAACATATACTCTGAAAATAGAGATTATGATGAACGATGTCCATTTTTTTTATGATATATCAGACTAACAGACTAAATAGACAATAACATTAGAGATTTTTTTTTTTTACTTTTAATTTTTTAAATGTGATAAATAAATTAGAGCAATCCGTGATTGCATTAGAGATGCTATTATCATAACTTTCTTTTCAAAGGCTCCCTCGTAGGCTTCTTTCCTGTGCATGCTTTTTTATGATGGATTGTAAAATTATTGTCTCCTAATCCCTTCATTATATTCTTATGTTTTCTATATGCCTATTAGAACAAAACTAACATTTGTTCAAATTTAGGGTCTTTTCGGCAAAGCTAACTGTGTTTTAATAGCTGTTAGCTCTTTAGTAGACTTTAGCTGATAGCTTTTTTAATAGACTTTAGATATTAGCTCTTTTAATAGACTTTAAACGTGAGTTAATTTTTTGTAAAATACTACTTCAATGTCTAAAAACTAATTAATTTTTTCGTAAAAGGCTACATTAATTTTTAAAAACTAGTTTAAACGCTATGTTATCAAATGGAAAAAACTTACCTAGACCAGGTCCATGTCTCCATCTATGGACTAAGCAGAAAATTAAGAATTTTTTAAAAAGTGTTCTGACTTTATTATTATTATTTTTTTTAAAGTGTATGGTTAGAAATACTATCGTTTCAAAAAGAATAGTGAATTTCATTGGTTTGGCATAAGTGAGAACATGGACTGGATTAGATAAGGTTTTCTAGGCATGGAGCCGGTGGTTTTAAAATATTGAACCTGAAACCGCCTTTGAATCGCTGGTTTCGGTTTTGGCCAATTCAACATGGTTCCGATCACGGTTTCGGGCGATATGTGTATTAATTTTAAAAAAAAATAAAAAATTGATCTAAGGCGTCTTTTTTTTTGAAAAAATTATGTGAATTTTAAAAAAATATTGATAAATTTATTTTAAATAACTTTTAAAATGCTCGTACTCATATAAGCAATAAAATTAATTAATTTTATAAAATAACACAAGTAAATTTGAACAAGAAATTAAATTAAAGGAAAAACTAATACATTTATAATTAAATAGCCTCAGACATAAATTAAATAATTAAAAAAAAAATTCATGGAGTTAATGAATCGATGAGCGTGAGATGTATCGAGACGAACCGTCGGTCCATTCAAGTCAGAAATTAAATAATTCGACATGAACTAATCGAATACTGTGAAACACTACCAGTTCTGGTTCATAACCACTTGAGAACCCAAAATAACAAATTTCCCAACTTGATTCATACAAAACCTGATTCGAATTCGGTTCGATTTCGACCAAATCAGTACACGCGGCCAAGTCTATAAAATTATTACCAAAAAAAAAATAAAAAAAAAATGAAGGTAAAAAAAAAGCTAATTGTTGATGGAGCCCAAGATCAATAAGTCAACAAAAGAAAAAAGGAAAGTGATGAGAAAATGAGTGTCATTTCCAACTCAATAGATAGTGAGATTTTTAAATTTCTCTCCAGCCGCCAATGCATCCCACGTCCACTTGAATGGTATTTACATAAAACTTCCGAATATTATTAAAAAAAAGAAAAAGAATAAAAAAGAATTCAGAATTGCACCATGCAATTATAAATATTTAAATATAAAAATAGATAATGTGAAAATTGCTCAATATAGATAAAAATCAGTAAGATTAATTAGACGAAAGAAAAAAAAGCAAACATCACAAAGCGATACACCAGAGAAGGGGCAGGACCAATAGGAGAGCTAGAGATAAAAACAGGAGAAAAACAAAAGAGAAGAGCCAATTGCAGGCTTCACATCAGGTCTAAAAAACCAACCCATAATTATTTGACGGAAAAAAAACCAAACCAGATAGAGAAACAAGAAAAGCCATAGTGAGAGTAACATACAAGGACATCCTGTAAAATTAAATTGCAGTGGCACGAAACAAGGCAATAGTTAGAAGGAAAATATCTCTTACACAGGAGCCAAACATAATATGCAATGACTTCGTCAACCGAAGTTTTTCTGTAAGGAAATTTCAATATGAGCAAATCGTATAGTCCTGGTTTAAGAAACTAATAACCCTCTGCACAAGTAGAAACTTACTATCCTTGCCTGAGGAACGTCAACCACTTCGCTGACTTGAATAAATTGGCAAGAAAATGCAAAAAATAAGACTATCCTTAGAACTCTGTCACATGATCAAAAAAACAAGGGTGAAAAAAAGATTCGAAATTCTAGAATTAACTAGGTGGATAGTCAATAGCCATCGAATGTGATCAACACTAGTGCCTCCTGTGATCTTCACTAGTGCCTCCGTTTCTCCGACGGCGAAGTCAATACCAGCTTTCAAAAGGTCAGTCACACAAGGGATTGCCAAGAAACCTCCATTAGCATCTTCACCTCTAGAAAGAATCAGATTTCGCTGGAGATCAAGTAAATGCTTATATTCTATTGTTGCGTTTACTTCAATACCTGTCGTTCTCAAAGCATTCCAGTAGAAGTAATCCTGAACAAGATTAGCAAGGCTGCGATTTTGCGGGTCACGGATATCTGCCCTTGTGAGATTGAATAATCTATGCAAGACAAACCAAGGAAGTTGATTCTCAAGTAAGAGTAACTCTGTCACCAGAACTTTTCGCAACCAGGGCATTTTAAACAAGGGATCATCTTCACTTATTTGTACTATTTTCGAAAACCTACGGAATAACTCAAGAATAAAACAACCATCAATGATCATCATTTCAATGAACTCATCATCAGTCTGTTTTGGAAATTCTTCACTATAGTATTTGCGACATCTTTGCACATCAGGTTTTATAGCTTCCACAAAAGATTGAAATCTTGTTCTACTAGAAGTATCACTTGGTACTCTAGCAAGAACACGATTTAAGTACCAAAGTTTAATTCTTTCTGAAAATTAGAACTTTTTTTCATCTCGATGATATGGACCAATTGAAATAAAATTGGGCTTGAAAAGATGATATGGACCAATTGAAGTCAACCCTCTAATTTTTTTTTTAAAATATTAGAAAAAAGATTCAAATCTAGATTTATTTATCAGGCCGTATATGCCCTCTTCACTAAACTAAGCCTTTAAGCCTTGATATGCTGTCAACCCTCTAATTGAAAAAGTATATAGCAAAACTCAAAAAAGATTCTAATGATATGTTGCCAGATTTTTAAATTTTTTAAAAACTGATGTTAAATCACTTTCATATCAAACTAATGGTCAAATTAATAAAAAATACTTCCATTAATTAATTTAATAAGTTGTATTTAATTTATCTGCTCATATGTTTATAATAAATACACACATTGTTTATAAGCCTATAATTTTAACATTATTTAATTTTTAGATCATTTCCTCATTATGTTTGCATTATATTTCTTTATTTTTATAATTCTTATACAGTAATTTCTATAGTTTTCTAAACACAAATTTTTTTAATCTAACTTTAAAAAATGCAGTGAAGGTAGTTGCACCTAACCAATAATAATAATAATAATAATCATAATAATATCCGGGTGAGATAGGATGACAAGAATTAGTCATTTCTCCTTTATAGGTTTCGAGTTCGAACTCTAAGTATAGAGTCCCTTTAAACACTCGGAAGAAAGTGCTTCCACCCCTCCCCCCCCCCCGGGGCCGCTCTTTGTAGGTCTACCTGGCGCTAATCCGGATTAGTCGGACTAGTGGATTTCGGATACCGGATGGTTAAAAAATTAAAAAAAAAATCTAAATAAATAAATAGATAGGTTTTCTGACATGTATTGGATCCTTGGAAGCAACTTCACCAATTCCCTGTTAATGATCTCTAGAACTGCTTATTCTATCCATGTCATCAGCCACTAAATTGATCCTTTGACCATATTCGATTCATAAGCACATTGGCTAACTGTAAAAGGTGAATTAGTTACAAGTTAATTATATTTTTCATGATCATGGTTCAACTTTAGTCGATTAGTTCTGTTCAAATTGGTTCTCGGTTCAATCTATTTACCAACCAACTTCATTCAGTTTGATTTAGTTCACCTTATAAATTGATTTGATCCGGTTTTGAATATTTGATGTTCGGTTTAATGGGTTTGGTTTGAAATCCGCAAACAGTTGCTCAGGTCAGGCCTAGAAAATACTGATACTGTTATGTTGTAGAAGAAATATTACAGCAAGAGATCAAAGAGTTATGTTAAAAATCAAGGAAGGAGTAAGCTGCAAACCCAAGTTGTTAATCATAACTTTCACTCTGATAATGTTAATCGGATTTGAAAAAGTGAATTTTAAACAGAATTTGAAATGAACATCCCCCTCTAAAAATATAGAATCTTGTATTAAATTTCCTTATCAGAAAATTTGAAATGATTAAGTGTTTATATATCCGCCATTAGAACACAATCTGATTTCTCATATTTGAAAAACACTACAATTTACAAATCCATCATCATGGTATGCACACAATTAAGCCAAACTATAAAATATATGCTCTACCTAAAAGAGAAGATTGACGTGAAACTTCATGTCAGATCTCAAAAACCACCCATTATTTGAAGATGAAAACTAAAAATACAGAAAAACATAGTGAAGAGCGATTGCAGGCCAAAGAAAGCAGGCAATGGGCAAACCAAGTCAATGAACATAAAAAGAGCTAGATGCTTAGTGATAAAGCATGGCATAAAGTGTTTGTAAGAAGGTGAGAACTAAAATTACAGTGGCAGCAAAAAAAAAAAGCCATAGTTGACCAAGGATTGTTGAAGTAATCTCTCAATAGCATTGTTCGCCATCGAGGCCAAAGAGATTCACAGTATGCATTGACGTCTTCTGAAATCTTTCTGTAAGTGTAATTTACAAGATCAGCATCTTTGTAGAGTCTGTTGAAGAAACTAGATATATCCTCTGCACTCAAATAAAAATATACAATTCCTTTTTTCTTGAGATACTCAAGATCTTCACTTGACTTGATAAGATTGTCTAAAAATGCAGCATAACCTGTAATTCTATCTCTTAGACTTCTGTCACATTGCTCATATGCAATAAGGTTGCGCATAACCTGTAATTCTATCTCTTAGACTTCTGTCACATTGCTCATATGCAATAAGGTTGCCATATAAAGATTCTGCATTCTCTAAAATTACTAATGGTGGAATTGTCAAGATTCCATTTTCGAATATGATCTTCACTAGTTCCGTCTTTTCTCCAACGGTGAAGTCAATACCAGCTTTCAGAAGGTCAGTTACACAAGGAATTCGCAAAAAATCTCCCCCAGCATCATCACTTCCAGAAAGAATTATATTTCGCTTGGACATCAGGTAAATGCTTATATTCCATACTTGAGTTTACTCCCATACTTTGTGCTCTCAAAGCATTCCAAAAGAAAAAATGCTGAACAAGCTCAACAAGAGAGCGAGTTTCTGCGCCGTGATCCACCTTTGTGAGATCAAATAACCTGTGCAAGACAAACCATGGAAGTTGATTCTCAAGTAACAGTAACTCTGTCATTAGAATTTTTGACAACCAAGGCATTTTAAACAAAGGGTCATCTTCACTTGGTTGTACTATTTTTGCAAACCTGCGGAATAACGCAATACGAAAACAACCATCAATTATCATCATTTCAATGAATTCATCATCATCAGTCTGTATTTCCACTTCTTCGCTATAGCATTCGCGATATCTCTTTACATGGGGTCTAATTGATTCCACAAAAGAATCTCTTTACATGGGGTCTAATTGATTCCACAAAAGATTGCAATCTTGTTTTACCAGAAGTATCACTCGGTGCTCTAGCAATAATACAATTCAAGTGCCAAAGTTTAATTCTCTCTGTAAATTGGAATTTCTCTACATTAATTCGATGATATGGACCAATTGAAATAAAATTTGGCTCGAAAAGATGCTCGTTGTGTTTTCGAAGTGTACTAGGAACTCTATATATGCAGCTGCCGAGTGACATTGGAGATTTATCGACCAATTTGCTTTCAAGACGGCGACATAATGACAAAAGCTCAATATCAAAAATATTGTTCTGCTGCTCCATTTTTCTTGGAAAGGTAAGTCAAAATAATTAACATGACAAGATTGTTTCAACTGAGCATGTTAGGATTAATTCAAAATAATATTATGAAAAATCTGTTGAGATTTCAATTTTATTTAGTGCAGATATTTTGCATAGAATTTGATATTTCTGTTATTAGGATTGAAGATTTTTAGGAGTATTTTTAGATCTTCTTTGATTCACTTGTAAGCCTATAAATAGACACATTCTTTTTCCTTTGTTAATTGGAAATGCAGTGAAAAACAGTGAAGTGCTAAACAATTGTTAAGTTTATCTTGTGCACTTTCTTCTCCTTCCAAAATCTCACATGGTATCAGAGCCTGTTTTGTTAAATTGGCCACAAAAACTATTCCTTTTCTTCCCCTCTCAATTTTTGTTGGTGAAAATTAATCAGCTATGGGCTGTTAAAAAATGAAAAACTTACTTTTAAAGCTTATGACTAATGGGAGCATGTTTGAAACAGAAAAGAAATCCTTCGCATTGCCATCACCACGCCAACTATGGTTCAAAATTAAGAATCCATCAGCGGAAGAAAACCAAAAAATTCAAAAGCAAAACTGCCCTTCATTCTTCTGTTTTGGGATATAATTTCACAAGTATTATTCGATTGTGAAACGCAAAGGAAGCAAAGGAGATATGGGACTCATTAAAAAAATGAGTATCAAGGCAACGAGCAGACGAAATTGATGCAAGTTTTGAATCTTAAAAGAGAATTTGAGATGCAAAGATGAAAACATGTGGAGGAGTCAAAGAATATGTTAACAATCTCATGTCCATTGGTAACAAAATTAGATTACTTGGTGAGGAATTTCCTGAAAGAAGGGTGGTTGAAAAAATTCTAATAAGTCTACCCGAAAAATTTGAGTCCAAAATTTCTTCTCTTGAAGACACAAAAAATCTTTCTGAAATTTCCATTGATGAACTAACTAATGCACTACAAGCTGTGGAGCAACGAAGAGCATTCAGAGAAGATAATACTATAGAGGCTACTTTAGTTGCCAAGACAACGAACAAATTTTTATCAAAAAGAAGAAAATTTCCACCATGTGGCGTATGCAAAAAAGATAATCATGATGAAAATGATTGCTGGCATAAAGGTAAACCTCAATGTTTTAATTGTAAGAAATTTGGTCATATTCAAAAAGATTGCAGGTATGGTATAAAAATCAATCAAATTTTTGAGCAAGAAGTGGAGACACCCGAATTTTATTTTTCGAAAAACTTCGAATTTTTAATAAATCAAAAAAATCTCATTTTTCAACTAATGGGCCTATATTATACCAAAACAATTCAATTCGAGCCCAACAATCTTTAACCGAGTCAGGCCCAAGCCCAATAAAATATCGAAAAGAAAATTTTTGAAAATTCGTAAACGTTTAAAATTTTTGAGAATAAGTACGAAAATTTAACCTATTATGAATATATATAAATTCATTATCCTAAAATCAAATATTGTTACTATAAATAATTTTATAATTATTGAGTAAATGGAGAAAATATTACGAAACGGAACTAAACGGTTAAAATAAATTGAATCAGGCCCGAAAATCAGTTTAATTTGTCGAGAACCACCCAAATAATCCGAAACCGAGGGAAAAACTTAAAAATCAAACGAAATGAGACCAAACCACTAAATCGGACCAAACCAGTTTGAATCGAACCGGAATGGCCTAGAGTTTGCTAGAAACCGCCTTACTTTTTTTTCTTTTCTTTCTCTTCTCCTTCTTCAGGCGCGCGACAGCCTCCTTCAGCGCGCGCGACAGCTCCCTCCACCCTCTCCCTCCCGTTTCCCCCGCCACGTCGAGAGAGCGAGATGGCGATCGTCTCCGCTAGAGCTCCTGGTCCATTTTCCGACCTCCTTCCACACTAACAGAGCCTCCAGTGACGCGAAGCGGGACTGTCTCCATCGACAGTTTTCCTTCTTCGATCTCCAGCTAGACCGAGCAATTCCGGCGACGTCAACAAAAAAGGCAGGCGTCGATCGAGTCACCTCTACCTTGTGAGTGTTTCTCCTCCATTAATTCCAACTACTACAAAGCTTGAAATGGCGAAACCACCATTAATGGCGGCACCAAGCTATTGTCGGGACTAATTCAGCCAAATGGAGGGCCAACCTCGCACAACCGACATAAAAAATGAACTCCTCGATGAAATTTGAGTGGGGTGGTGTGAAGAAGGGTCAATTCTGGGTGGCTCCAACTTTTCCGGCGCACAACCGACATCAAAAACGGACTCCTCGATGAAATTTGAGTGGGGTGACGTGAAGAAGGGTCAATTCTGGGTGGCCCCAACTTTTCCGGCCACCGTAGACGGCGACGATCCGGCGAGTCTCCGGCAAGGTGCCAGGGACAGAATGTTCCTCTCTTCGCGAGGATCGTGGAATCGTCGCTCAAATTTCAATTGGTACATTCTAAGACCAATTTCCTATTTTTGGTATAAATTCTAAACTAATTAAATTGAAAATTTGAATGAATTGATTCATACATCATATATGAGCTAGGGTGAGAATGACCTATTTTGCTGAACAACAACTATTTTGAATAATTGCGAACATTTAGATAAACTAGTTATAAGAATTGATATATATTTATATCTATATACATAAGGGCGAGTCGAGTTACTTAGTAGATGTATTCATTAAATTATAATTAATTGAAGCATTTGTTCTTATTGGCTAGTATAAAATTTAACAAAGGTATAAAAAATGTGACGTATTAGCTTTAAGCAAGAATGAAGAAATGAAAGTAATTGAAATTAACTTACTGATATAAGTTTTATTCGATTATATATGTATTAAAGCTTTCATTTGTTTGTTTTGGTAATTAGCTTATACTAGCTATTATAATTATATGATGTAAATAATGATTGTCTTAATCATTGAAACAATAATTGTTGTGAAAATTGTTGTGAATTAATGGTTGAGTGTTGACACTGTTGTTTTCGAAGGAGGATGAGGTTTTAAATTGATTGATTGCCCGACGGATGGGCTGTGTGTATTGATTGATAATTATATGATAATATTGTGATATTTAAACAGGTGGATAGTCCAATTTTTAGGGGAGGAGCTGCCGAAATTTCCATAAAACTTAGACTAGTTTTAATTAATAATATAATTAATAAGTTTATCTAGATTAATTCTATAATTTAATACATAATAAACAGAGTGCTCTAATTATTTTTATCATCATTATTCATTTAATTATATTTAAGTATTAAATTATTTTCCATTGTTACTGTTTATTCTTATCATTGGATTTTATGTGTTGTTTGTTTGTTATGGTAATTATTTAGCTATTTAATTGCATTTGAGGAATGAATGTCCAATTGTGCAGATTGCAATCTACGATGTTCCAACTGATCATATGTCTGCATTTTGATGCAATGTTGATTAATTTGTTGTGAAAATGCTGTGCTTTGTTTGGTAGTGGATTGGGAATGATGTGGACCACATGGTTTGTGGGAACGGTCCTGTGAATATGGATCCTGAATACGATAAATGATACTTGACGTCGGCCGGGAAAATGGGAGATCGGCCGCCCCCTTGTCACCTGATGATATAGATTTATATGGGGATTTACAGGATGGCTACTTTTGCGCAACCTGAAATCTAGATTTGATTGTAGCCCGCAGGGTGGCCTTCTCTGTTTGTGAGATAATCTAGATTGGATGGAGACCACCGGGTTGCCTCCTGTTGATATGGAAAAGAAACGAGAGACTGGAAAAACAATGAGAGGACTGGTCAGTGAGCATTAGACCAGTTGGCCGTATGGGGGATCGGCTCCCTAGTGCACATGTACGAGAGGGCGAGCCATGTGTGAGGACGGCTCGTTTGGGTTTCAAGTGGTGCCACTGACTAATTACCACTTGCTTGATTACTTGAAAGTGACATTACGTGTGAGTGCTGGTATGTGTAATTTGTGTGACTGGCTGCGTGAGCATATAACTAGTCGGATGACTAGATTGAAATGTTTACATATTTGTGTGACTGCGTGTGTTGTGCAATAATTAGGTGTGTTGCTGCAATAATTATTTACTCCTTTAGAAAACTCCACATGTCTTATTTTGAAATTCAGAAGTAAGTTAAGTAAGTTTTTCTTTAATCCGATTTAGGCTATGTGTCTTCGGCGCAGGGCAATAGAGAAATTTTCCTAGTTCCATAATTATTTCACTATGTAATTATTTGTATAAAAAGCTATGTATACCAAAGGGTTAGTGACTCCGCAGTTGTAGGATTTACATATATTTAGTCGTGAATTAACATAGACAAAATAATTCTGTAAGCCATATTAGAATGTGATGTATTTGTAAACTGGGCCCGAACTATAGAATGCTGTAGAAGATAAACTTGGGCTGAAAACTAATAAAATGTTGAGGTTTATTTTTCATAATCATATGGGCTGAATGTTGAAATTTATACCGAGATAATAGATTCTAGTGTTTCAGGCTTACTACGGGATTCTAAAGTGGTTTTAGGCTGACTACGGAGCCTCGGGGGCCTTAAAGCTTACCTGGGCCTAGTGCCGGTCCGGCTCCATGGAATCGGGGTCAGTGACAAAGAGGAAGGAACTCATCAATCAAAATTTTGTGGCAAGAGGAGGAACTCCTTCTTTGAGTATTGGAGAAGAAAGTGCTCCAAGTAGAACATTGGAGAAGATGTGCTCAAAATAAAGAAAAGCGATGAGAAGTGCATCAATATTTGAAGATAAGTGCTTCAAAAAAAAAATTTGCTAAGTTGATGAGAAAGTGCATAATATTTGGTGAGAGTGCATTCAAAATGATGAAGTTGGAGAGAAGGTGCTTCAACAGTTAATTGAAGAGGTGATTCCAAATGCTAGATTAAAAATTTTAATTGTTAATTATTGTAATAAAAATATTATGTTTGAATTAAGGAAGAGAAATGTTAGGATTAATTCAAAAATAATATTATGAAAAATCTGTTGAGATTTCTCCCCCCCCCCCACCCAAATAACAACAACAGATGTAAAACCAAAAATCACACCCAACAAAAACCCCCCGTTCAATTTTATTTAGTGCAGAATATTCTGCATAAGAATTTGATATTTCTGTTATTAAGGATGAAAGATTTTTAAGGGAGTATTTTTTTAGATCTTCTTTGATTCACTTGTAAGCCCTATAAATAGGCATGAAGATTTTTAGGAGTATTTTTAGATCTTCTTTGATTCACTTGTAAGCCTATAAATAGGCACATTCTTTTGTTAATTGAATGCAGTGAAAAACATGAAGTGATAAACATTGTTAATTATCTTGTGCATTTCCATTCTTCCTTCCAAAATTTCAACAGAGCAATGGAAAGAGAGAGAAAGGCAAGAGAAAAGAAAAAAAGTACAATTAATTTTACTTTTAGAGGAAATGTAAGTACTGCAAGAGAAAAGAGAGTACCTGTATCTGATCTGATACAAATTGTCTTTTCCTGCAGTAGTTTGAAAGAAATGGATAGAGCAATTCTTGATGCCTAATCTGGATGGAGTCAGGAGTTGAGGTATATGTAGCTATCTTTCTCAATAGCTTTCTCTTCAGAAAGTCAATAACTAGTTAAAATGCGGTGACCATTGTTTCACCTAACAAATACTAATTATAATAATAGTAATAAAAATAAATAGGCTTTCACGTGTATTGGATCCTTTGAAGCAACTAATAGATTCTTTTACTATGTCATATTCATAAACAATTTGACTAATTATAAAATGAACAACTGCTTAGGAGCTAGTTAGAATAAAGTAGGGTCCAATAGGTCTTTTGCCCTGCTGTTACAAGAATCATGGCAGGAAGAAGCTGTAAACCAGTTGTGTTTCTTCCTGCTGTTAATGATCTATGCAACATATGACGGTGTGCAAGATTAAGCAAAGAGTATGTAAAACTGAAATTTTCTCATAAAATTTTGTTTCTCAAATTTGAGAATACACCACAATCAGCCATTTGCTACAAGTTTCTACCATTATTTATATATAATTAAAATTTTACTGAAGAATTTATATCAATTTATCTTGACAAACTTGGAGGTTCAAACTGTAATAAGCCCCCTTCAATGATCGTTACATGCCATAATAAGACAACCACCTATCAACCATTGCAAGGCACTCCTTAGGCTTGTACTCTGGAGCTGTATGACCTCCTCCCTACACACACACACACACACACACAAAAAAAATGTCAATGTACTTATTTTAACAGTCTGACTTTGTAAGGAATTGAAGTCAAGTGTTTTTCTTGCCTTTACAGTGGCAAATGTCAAACCATCTCCAACATCGCGAGAATACTTGACCGTGAATCTACAAAGGAAAAGGAAAGTGAAACATTATTATGAATGTGTCGTTTGGATTTGCAACTGCCACTGAACCACAAACACAGTCACAGATACAGATACAAGATATAACATTGATACGACATAGGGCGCGTGTTGGATTTTGTGTCTTGTTGTGTTGGAAAAGTGTTGACGACATGGATATGCACCCAAAACTAAAGTTGCAGTGCTTCATAGGTAACTGATCTGACCACAATTAAAATAAATTTTCAAATTTAGAAACCAACCCTGCTATTTGACCTTCAACAAACCAAGGTCTCCAACCATCACTCATGGTTAAGTTGAGGGAGTTAATCCATGTGACTGTACCAGTGTAAGGAATTAGCATGTCATGGTCACCGCTGCAAGAAAACAAATAGCATAAGGAATAAGACCACATAAAAGAAAAGAAGAAAACACTTCAAGTGATACTTAACGACAAGCTATTTGAAGAAATATCTATTTTCCTCAAGTTTCAGAATTAATATTTGTGTTCTGAAATTCCAAGATCTCCGGGTGACATACAGGAAGCATACACCTCTTGTATAATATATATATATATAAGGTAAGGTAAGGTTAAATGTAAACTGATCCTTTGACAAATGATGACAATTATTTTTATATTTCAAAATCTGCTCAGTGATGGAAACAGGTTAGTACATTCACTAGTAGATAACCTGAAGATCAAAGAAACAGGTTAGTACATTCACTAGTAGATACTACCCTGAAGATCCAAAGAAAGAACAAAATATTCACTAGTAGATAACCTGAAGATCAAAGAAAGAACAAAATACCTATATACCAGAGCTCGGTAGCCAGCTGTAAGTAGTTCTTTATGATAAAAGACAGTACTCAATAAGTCATACTCATAAGCCAAGGTTTTGTTGCACCTCTTCCAATCTGTTATTGTACCCTGATTGCCAATGAAAGAAAAAAATGCCTTGAGTTTATCTCTGTGAAATTAGTTTAAATTTAAGCACCAACTTGAAATCAGCATACTGATACAGACAGCCTAATTTTACTTTTTAAAGTGACTTACATTTCGGATATGAAGTGCCTCTTGTACGCCTTCATCATTTGCCCAGATGTAAGAGAGTACATAATTTGAATTCTGAAACAAAGTTTGTAACATAATTTACTGAATATGTAGTTTTGAATTGAGATCTAGTAGAGTTGCATAAGTATCCAGTAGATTGAAGGACTACATATCCCTGGTAGGGATTGGAGCGGGAGAAAGAGGTATTACCCGGCACCAATTATCAGGGACTTCTTCTGATGATAAAGCAATGTCGATGGGAGTGTCATCAAAAAATTTGCGTCCCCATTTCAAGCCCTTTGGTTTTGGTGATGCAAGAGTGCACTTAGGTTCCAGTATTTGTGCGTCACATATCTTTAAAGTGCACTGCAAATGTCAAATAGTTATTTGGTCTCATTAGTAAAAAATGTAGGGAATATCATATAAATTGTGATGGAAAATTAGAACATTTTGTTAGGGCCCGGCAATGAAATTACGAGAATAATAACACAGTGGAAAAATAAAAATTTGACGCACAGATATTTACGTGGTTCACCCTTTAACTATTTAGGGCTACGGACAAAAACCGAATATTTCTTCCACTATTAAAAATAGTAGGCTTACAAAGAGAGTAATACAAAAATAGTGGCACTCAAAAGTGTTTCCCAAAAACACACCAAATTATCCTTACTATTTTCTATACCCGAGTTTAGAACACAGTTCTAAAACTGAAACAACTCTCTCAAAATCCCTCTTCTTTTTGCTTTCACTCTTATTGTGTAGTGAAGCTCTAGCACCATCTCCTATTTATAGGAGAGGTGGAAGCCTGATTAGGAGAGGTGGACGCGTGATTAACGCGTCCGCCGAAAAACGGATCACCTGCCAAAGAACTTTCTCCAATTTTCTTCTTGCCTTTTTCAACTATGGGACCTACCACGTTTTCTTTCATTCTCTTTTTCTTTTTTATTTTATTTTATTTCAAATGTGGGTCCCACTGAGTGGGCACCGCACAACACCTTTTTTCCCCTTCCATTCAAGAAATGAAAGCAGTACTTCTTCTAACCTCTGCAATATGCTGAATGGTATCCATACAATCAGCATTGCTTATATTTGGTGATATATATTCGCCGACACAGTACGTTGTAGCAGCCTGGAAAAGCATAAAACAACTTCAATTATATTTTTTGACAAAAATATGATTTAACAAAATGAATGCTCAATGAAAGCCACACTGACTATCTTTAACTCTATGAATGTCGAGATTTATTCAATGTATCATGCGCATTGCATAATTCACAAATCATGTTATGCAAGCATTAAAAATATGGAGAAATAAGTGAATGTGAATTAGTTAGCAAAACCAAATTGTTCTAATGCATATCTAACTACAAAACATTATTAACCCTCTATGCACATAACTTATCAATCACAGTCAGGGGCGGAGGAAGGGGGGACTTGGAGGAGCCCCGGCCACCCCAAGCTAAAAATAAAAAAAATTAAAACTTTTATCTATAAATAGTGCAAAAAAAAAAATTTTTTCCTTGATTTGCCCCCTTAATTTTGAAAATTTTTTTTGGCCCCCTTTAGTTTTGGAGTCTGCCTCTGCCCTGATCACAGTGAGCTTATGAAATAATCAGTGTGTATTAGTTTTAATCTACAGCAGTCAATTACCGTATATAGCTCATTAGATATGAGTCCCACTCGGTAGAAATATTCAACTCTTGAATTCTCATCATTATGTAAATCTGTTACTGGATTACCAAGCATGTATCCCTGATTCACATTTAAGCAATATCAGTCTTAGATACACTAAAAAGACAATGATGAATTGAAGCGATAGTATATAATTTAAATTTCTGAGAAGTACAAATGTGTACCTGGAGATTCAAGTAAGGCTTGTGTTTGGCTCTGTTTCCTGCAAGACAACCGTTATGTTTCACTTATTTTCTTTCTCAAAATAAAAAGTGGTAAATAGACATGCAAGAATAAATATTTCACATTGAAGGTTACCGTTAACGATTTCTTGAACAACTAATGGGACAATTTTGCCAGAATAAGAATCACCAGCGATATAGAGTCTGTTACTTTGAATCACCAGCGATACAAAATATTTTTATCATAAACATTTTATCTAGAATTATTTTAATTAATTGTTTTAATAAAATTCAATGTAATAATATCTTTAGATTCAATATTTCAGACGTTTTTTTTATAACACATTACAATTTAGGTATAAGTATGAAAGTGATTGTGATAAGAAATTTTTATTTATTTTCCATTATCAATTTCGCAAAATTATTATGTTTTCTAAATAACGTGGTCTGAAAGTGTAGTATACCCTCCTGGCTTTTTGAGTAGGAAAATCAGTTCCAACTGGTGCATCCAAGAATATAATATTCCGCAAATCTAGAAAATATGTGTAAAAATATTTGGATGAAAAAGAAATCCAGTTAATTTACGTTTACAAAGTAAAATGAAAGAATAGTAAGATTTAATTTAGCACCTTTGTCCATGAATATGATTCTCTATAAAAAGTGATGGCAAACTCCATTTGAAGGCTTCATAATCAAAGTTTAATGGACCCTGCACAAAAGTTAGAAAGTCCATAGATCAATAAAAATGATGCTAACAATGAAATTGCCTTGATCTTTCTCTTGTAGGTTCTAACTTTATGAATTACACACAATGAAGATACAAAATAAACATAACATCCCCCCACAATGAGAACAAATACTGGATACTCTAAATATCCTCCAAGAATCAAAACCATAAGGAAATCACCAAACCCATTTTACCATTATTCATTCAGACAAAATCGTCTGAGCAAACTTATCGTCATCCAAAAAAAAAAAAAAAAAAAAAAAAAAAAGGATTGATATCATAGCTTTACTATTAGGAGCAGGCTTATTCATTCAATAAAGGCGTATAAAATTACAGGCCAACTCAAAATTTGAGAGCTTCGAAGCTAGTGAAATTTGAGCCTTAAATATATAAATGATTTGTTAAAAGTTTTCAGTTTTAGCCTACAACATTGTATTATTAATCCGAGCAAACGAAACTATCTGAGAGCTACTTCAACTTTGAATCGGAAATTTTGAACTTAACTTTGAATTGGAATTGATAAACCATATTTTGTAATTAGTATTTAAACATGGCCAAATGTAGAAATTGAGATTTGCAAAATTTAATAACATCCTTAATTTTTATTTTAATTCACCCTTTAACCTGTAAAATTATATTCGGTTGGACACTCTAACTTGTAAATTACATCAATTAAATATTTTAATTTATAAAATTAATTGAAATTATTATTATTGAAAACTAATAAGATAGTTAAACAAAGCCAATATTACTATTTAATATTTTGTGCTAAAAAAAGTATAAAGTATCTGTACTCATAAATATATTATTTAGTAATTAAAAAATATGTAAATTTATATTTTATAAATGCGAATTTACAAATTAAAATATTTAATAAGTATAAATTTATAAATTAAAAAGTCTAAAATCCCAAAACAAAAGCTAGGGATGTCATTAGACTTTTCTTATAAAGTTCAATACTTACAATTTAAACTTTTTAAAAAAGTTTAATACATAAATTTAAATTAATATCTGAATTTTACAAGAAAAACAAAATTGCAATTTAATTTTTAAGTCGAGCTACTAGAACTTGATATTTATAAAATTATATTAATTGGATACAAATTTTCATATTTTTCAATTATCAGATATTGTATATTCAATAAGTGTAATACTTTATACATATTTCCCCACAAATTACAAAATAAAGATCTTCATATTTTTTAAATATATTGTTAATGTTTTACAAGTATAATCTTATGACTAAAAGTATTCAAGAAAAATAATTATAAAAAGTCTATATTTATTTTTTTAGTTTAAGCACTACTATTTCCACGTCTGTTTTGGGTATTAAGACTACGTTCAGTTTGGGATTCATAATTTTTTTCTGTAGATTGAACCTTTAATCTTGTAGAAATCATCTACTAGATTCAAACATGTTTTATTACTAGAATCACTCTTTAAAAATTAAAAAAAAAAAAAAAACTTTCTTCGATTTACAACATTTTCAAAGTTCTAGTTTAGAATTGGAGTGAAAAAAAAAAAAAACTTTCTTCGATTTACAACATTTTCAAAGTTCTAGTTTAGAATTGGAGTGAATAAATAAACAAGATTTAATTTTAATTGAAAATTTTTACAAAAATGTAATCAAAATTAAGTATAATGAATAAGGAGCTAGCATACCAATTTCATAAATTAGGCCAGAGAAAGCAGAGCAACCAGGACCTCCTGTAAGCCAAAGCACAAGTGGGTCTCTTACAGGATTCCTCTCTGACTCTACAAAGTAGTAGAAAAGCTGCAGTTCCTCCAAATCTCCCACACCCACATAACTTAAAACACAAAAAACCCAATATTATAAAAAGAAAATTATTTACGAAAAAGATACTGAAATCCTCTAAACTAATTAAAACTCACCCTGTTTCAAGCTTAAATGGAAGTCTGCCATTATAACCTGGTAATGTCTCCACAAACTTTTTTAAACAAAAAATAAATTCAGTTGAAGACTTTTTTTAAAAAAATAATTAAGTTCAAGTCTTTAAAAAAAATAAATTTAATTGAAGCATTCTTTGATTTTTTAGGTGTATTTTTTTTTTAGAAATAACTTTCACAAATTTTTAAAATTTTGAAAACTGGTCTTCAAAATTTAAAATTTAAAATTAAGTGATTCACTGAAAAGCCGATCCGAACCGTCGGTTTTGAAACCGTTAAGGAACCGGAATCTTTCGGTTCCAAACCGGAACCGGAACCGTGGCGACCCTTACATATAGGTATAGATATCCATGATTTTTTATAAATTTTAGCAAGTTTTGAGAAAGTGCAATTGTAAATTTATAGATTTGTCCCAATAAAATCTTATCCCTTGCATGTGAACCGTTATCTTTACCCATAAAATCTTATCCCTTACATGTATATTTAAAAAAAAAAATTTATATTAAGACGCATTTTGTTTCCCTAAAATAACTTAGAGGAGAAGAATTTAAAATATCTTTAAAGACAAAAAGAATTAGTTACACTTGTAAACTTGCAGCTAACGTTCCACCACTAGTAATCAATGGTTTATGTGTATACATTGAAGAGCTGGTTACATCAGAACTGTCATTCGTAAGATTATAGTTTAACTAGTCAAATGAATATCCTTAATTTATATGGTGTCACATTGTTTATTATTTTCATAGAGCAGATGTTTCATGTTTCCAAAATGATGCAGATCTGTATGTATCACTAGCACATGCCCTTTTACCTCTTCAAATCTTATCTGAATAAGATCGAAAAAATATGCTCCATTATGTATATATAATAACAATAATAATAATTTTCCTGAATATAACCTAATCCGAAAGAATATGACATTTTATAATAAAATTTATGTATAATACTTCATGTTTGTTGATTTTTTATATAATAATTTAACTTATAGACAATATTATGAATATTATATATTTTGTGTTGAAGGAAAGAGATTTGAACTTAAGTTTATTATCGTGGTATATGCACTTATCGTTAAATTATGCTTAAAGTATGAAATTAATATCATTTCAAGTCTTTCAAAAATATTTATTCATAAATTAAAATTCTTAACTTTGCAGAAATTGTTGACTAAACTTTGCATTTTCTCGATTGATATTTAAAAAATGAAAAAGAAAAGAGAATTTAGAAAATGCAAAAACCAAAAAGACCGATATAACTAAAAGAAACCTAAAAAATTCAAGAGATTAAAGAGGATGGGTTGTCTTCCTACTTCATTCCTCTCATTCTTCACCATAGAAGAAAATCTATAAGTTTGAAAATATTATGTGATTTGAGCCTAGTTTGAAAATACTAGACTCGATATTTTCAATTAAGGCTTTTGATTGATAAATTTTTTGCTTCTTTATTAGTTTTTAGCTTGAACTTTTTGGCAATACAAATTATGGCAACTAAGTTTCATAATTTGGGTGTTAGTATAATTTTTTATGGACATTACTATGTTGATCTCAGTTTTTAAATACAGTAACATCTCTGAACTTGTTTCTGTTTTCTTCTTCCCTTTTTTTTTTTTTTTTTCTTCCCCTTTTTTTTTTTTTTTTGGTTTTGTTAAAAAGAATGTTCCTCAGAGGCTACTCCATTCCTATGTAGGTCCTGGAGAGGTGGATCTCTACTCCCTTCTTTTATTATTGGCTACTTTATTTTCTGATTCCGCATTAAATAATAACTTAACACAGTCAAAAAAAAAAAAAAAAAAAAAAAAAAAAAAAAAAAAAAAAAAAAAAAAAAAAAAAAAAAAGAAAAAAAAAAAAAAAAAAAAAAAAAAAAAAAAAAAAAAACAGAAAAAAAGAAAAAAAAAAAAAAAAAAAAAGAAAAGAAAAGAAATATGCATATGCAAGTTCTTATTTCAACTTCAAGATTTAATCACACCATTTATTCTGAAACATAAAATTTGTAATGAACAAACAACTCACACCATTAATTCTAAAACACAGAAGAATAATTTTAGAAATAATCCATGCTAATACACCGGAAGCTGTTAAACAGCTTAAAAAGTAAGGTCGGAACCGTTGAATTTGTCTTTAGTTATCTGATCAAGTCGTTTTACCATCTCGGGAGTTAAATAATTCTTCCAATCACCTACCTTACCTTTTCTAAAGAACGCATTATTTTCAAATTTAGAAGGAAATGCAATAAGAATTAGTTCATAACTCCTTTTCACTTGTTATAATAAATTTAAAACATTAATTTAATGCAATAAGAATTTAAAAAAAAATGGAAAAAAAAGAAAAAATCTATTTATAAATATTTTGATCAAAAGAAGGTCAGCAACTTACATAAGTCCAACATTTTTTATTGTAAAGTCCAATTTCAGAAATGTAGGATCAAATACTCAAAATGCTAAATATTGATTGGGACTTTTGATCTCATTTTCATTTGGATTTATTCAAGTAATTAAAGGTGGAATTATTATTTTGTATTTGGAATTTGTTGACACGTGGAAATTTTGGATAGAATCCATTTCTGGCCTGTTTGTTTATTTTCCAATTTTGTCCCCTTTTTTATGTAAAGTCGTGTTCTGGCCCAATGGATAATTTTTTTTTCCTTGACCCAATGGATAAATTCACTGATTTATTTTATGATAAAAAAATATTATAGAATTTTCAATTTTTACTTTTAACTATTGAACCTTTCCATTTATAAAATTATACCAATTAAATATTTTAATTTATAAAAATTATTATATTCAATACTTAAAAGTTTAAAATTAGATTAATTAAACGTTAAATAGTTGAAAAATGTGAAAATTATTGTCAAAAATTATACTAACTACATATTAAGTGAATATTTTGCGTAGAACAAAAATATATACACAAAAAAAAATGTAATTGCTAATATAAAGAATGATACAATGTTAGCAAAATTCATAACTTCAAAGGCATAATAGTTGATCACTCGCAAAGCTTGGTGCCACAAGATTTTTTCCATAAAGCACGTGAGTATATTTATACATTAGCTAAACCATTTTTAATACCTCAAATTTTATGGATTTTTACAATTTCACTCTCAAATGAATTTAACCCCAAGATACTCCAATTCCAAACTTACATTGCAATTGCACTCTAAATACCGAATTGGTCAAAGTTGATATTTTAAAAAAATAATAAATATGGGACCTACACCAATTAGCTAACCCAACATGGTGTGCTTTAATCATGCTGGGCTTTAATTATGGTGTGTTATCGTAATCATAATGATGCTGGGTTTTAATTACGGTGTGTTATCGTAATCATATTGCTGATGTTTTAATTTGGTGAAATACATAAT